GAAAACATTTTATGTCCATGAAGCTCAGTTCAGGAGTGCAACTGTGCTCACGAATTTGAGGGGAAAAATATACACACATGTATAAAGCCACATACATGCAGGACCACACAGAGACACATCAAGATGAACCCAAATGCAGGTATCTATTGATTACTATCAATACATTATATCAGAAAATTAAATATTCTGCCAGAAACGCTAACGTGGAGTTTATTTCCATGTTTGGACCAGGGAGTTGTATTCCATTGTTCTACTTCCCCAAATCTCTAATCAATTTCGCAAAATGTAATAGAAACTAATGAATCTATTTATATAAGGGAACCATATTCTACACTTAGAATTCATAGTGAGAAAAAAATTTGTTCAGTAATTAATAGAGCTGAATGAGAAGAGGAGGAAAATTTTGCAATCAAATGCAGAACGGGAAGAAACTTAAAATGAATACAGCAGTGGGCTGGGGAAAGAAGAAAGGAAAGAAAGGAAAAGGAGAAAAATACAATATAATTAAGAGAGTTATACAGTGGGTTTCTCTTAGTTCATTGAAAAAAAAGGTTTGTGCTAATATCATTAGGACAGTTTTTCCTGCCTATATCATGTATTCTGAGTAACTTCTTTGAAGATAACAATGTACAATGTATTAACTATTCTTACTCTCTTATTATTTTGTTTTGAAATTTTGTTTTATTTTTTACTTAAAATATAAAAAAATTTTTAAAATTTTAAAAGCACAGGATGAACTTCTTGTTGAAGGCTTTTGCTTCATGCAAGTCAGAAATCTACTCCTGGATGGGTAGAGTCTGTACTGCCTTCACTTTTCTTTTTACCTCATATAATGAAGGAATTAAGGGAGCAGAGAATGGTGATATACTAAAGTTTTTGTTCTGTTTTAACCTGCCAGATACCAATCTGTCTCAGCTGTCCCTGCTTTTGGTGACAGTGCAGTCACCCCTCTTTCTCTGCGATCTTCAGGCTCACACCCCAGTGTTCTCACCCCAAAGCTGAATCCAATTACTGTCTATAGTGGTTCCTTGCTTGGAAATTGGAATTAAGGTAATATGGAAAGTTGAGAACAACACCTTTATGAATCTTAGGCAAAACACCAAGAAGAGAAATAGCTTAGCAAATGACAAGAAAAGAAAAAGTTAAATAAGGAAATTCAAAAATACAGAATGTATTATAATACAGTTGCATATTTTTGGTCACAATACAGTAAAAAGAAATAGGACCATTCAAGAGATTTGAAAAAATGAAGTATGAAAGGTAAGATAAAATTTTCAGCACATGTAAGTAGGCTAAACCTCAATAAGAGAGGGATCATACCTATCACTTGAAAAGGAGGGTAGGTGGTGACGTAATGAGATGCAAAAGTAAATTTGTTTATTTAATAGTGGGAATGTGAGATAGTTCCTCTAAATTGCACTTATGTTATCAGTAGTTTTATGTCAGCGGACAGAAATGTGGGAGAGGATATAATTTATTTGAAAGATTTGAAAGTGTCACATTGGAAAGTAGGAAAGCCAATATATTAAGGAAGAATTAGATCAGTTAAAGAATGGTAAGCAATGATTTCTAAAAATCTTCTGTACAAAAAACAGGGGAATACTGGTAAAACCATCATCAAAGCTGTCTTCATAAAAGCTCTAAAAACTAAAAGCTTGTAACATCAGAAAGTGATCATTTAAGACAAATGGCTGCATCTCAGTAAGAATAGTGAATATTGTAATGTTGAGTTGCTGTAGTCCCATCCAAATCTCCCCAGACCACGGCAGCCTTGAAAACTCACAGCCTCATCCCAAGGTCACATTGCAGACCAGCACCCTACCAGACAACCAGAGACGGCAGAGCTGTCTTTATGCCCCCCTCCCCAGTCCTAGACAACTGTCATTATTTCCCTTGGAGGCAGGTTCCCTCTAAAGTCCTGTTTGTCTTCAAAGATTATCTTTACCTGATTTGACTCAGAGTCCACCCAGTGCAACTTTTTCTCTGGAAGGAGAGTGAAAGCTCGAACTTTTCTTAGTATGAGAATAACCTACCCCTTCTTCATGTAGGTAGGTCAAATCCTAAGCCAACGTCCCCTGCCTCGTAAGCTGAGCACAGACTGAATTTCTTCAACCTCCAAACTTTAAAATTCTGGATGCTCATAAGTTTGTGCTTGGTAAGATACTTTTCTGTGGAAGAAGTAATTAAATATACCCACAAAGCCCTAGCAGAAGTCCAAAATGTCTGTTTCTGCAGACAGAACCGTCTCAGCATCGCCTGCGGCAGAGATAAGGATTGCTGGTGCCCACTAATTTTAACAATTGAGGTATCATTGATGCCCCTGTCAAAATCACTTTCTCCCCATCAGAGAAAAGTCTTCTCCAGTGATTTGATGAGTGAAAGAAAGGGCTGTCTGTATAAAAAGGCAAATAATTCTTCTTTGAAACACTTAAAGACACAGGAAAAAATGCTGTCAGAACACACACAATGGAACTAAGATCAGTGAGACATAAGGTCCAAACCTTGATGTAAGTGCTGAGGCGGAGACCAAAGCAGAACCTTGAGGGGATGTACTCCCGATCACACATCTGCGTCAGGGGTCCTGACTCCCACGGCAATGACCCGCTAACAGTTTCAAGCCACTGGGATTTCATTTAATTAATTGTGCTAAATTCTATTGTGTTTATTCTTTACTGTATTCATATGCACGATGGCTTGAATGTCAGTTTGAAACGAGCAACACTGAATTGCAGGCACACTCTAATACATTTTATGTGTTAAAATGAGCAAACATTTAAATTCACCAAAAAATGGTGTCCAGTAAAAACTCAATGAATTTCACTTCTTTCAAGGAATAAAGCTTCATTTACAACTGGAAGTACATTATACTAAGTAATACTACATTTAAAAATCTTAGGAGTGTATTTTACTTATACAGTTTATTTTCCTTAATAATTTGCTCTGTATTCATAAGAGTCATATGAAAATGAGCAAGTGCTTCAATGTATATGTATTTCCTGCATGTGAACGAGCCTGCAAATGGCACTGGGGCTGATCAAATTTGAACTGTGTCACAATATACTGTACTGTTTAATTCATGAATCTACATAGTAGAAAAGTATAACATTCTTCAGAGGCTGTGCCTTTTTTCTTTGAAGTTATATTTCAGTGGCTTCTATTTTACTTTACTTAATTCTTCTAATCATTAAAATAATGATACTCATGATAAATTCAGGTCCTGAGCTTTTCATAGTTTTGAAAACTATTTTTTGATCTACTGAGCTTGTTAGTCCCTGTGTATAGTTCCCATTAATTTTTCTAAAATATTTCATATCATTTTTTTAGAAAGGGTCTCTCTGTGTAGCCCAGGTTGACTTTGAACTTGCCAGAACCTCCTATCTGAGCCTTGGGTATGCTCACATTATAGCCATGTACTACTATGCCTGGTTTAAAATATCTTAAAACTTGATATGAATATTTGCTTACTATCCATAGCTTTAAGTGCATTGTAGTATTCAGGAATAAAGAGTTTGCTTTGTATTAATACAATGAGGAAAAATACAGCCATAATTTAAATATCGAGTTTAAAAATATCATGGAATGTGAGTATACCAAAACAAAGACTACTTTGATCTAATTCCACCTGAACTGTTGGAGCAGTTTCTTGGAAAAAGTTTGGCAAAACTTAAGTTAAAACCCCACTATACCTTCACTACAGAGGAGTCACTTGTCCCTGTATGATGTTACAAAATTCTGCAGCTTTTTCCTCCAAAAGAATTAGGTGCAAAAACTTAAACGCATTGCTAGCCTCATTTAATTTCATATTTTAAGCCCTAAATGGGCAATTATAATCTTGACCAACTGATTGAATTTCCTTTCAGTTTCTCTTTGATGAAAATTATGGGAACTACTTTCATGGACTCCAAATTCCATTGTATAAAATAACCTAATATCTTTCCCAACTGCTTATTTAAAATTCCAACCAGACAGAAATGCATTAGGATACAATTGGATAGCAGAAAGGCGGTGCTTTTATTCTAGTATTTTTGACCTAAAATCAGACATTTGAGCCAAATGATTAATATTTAAAATGGAAGAAGGAAAGAGTCTTTGGAATTAAACTATATTTTAGGCATATTATTTGCATAATGTTCTTTGCCTCTCTCATTTTGAATCATTTTTCATGTATTTGAAAACTGGCTGAATACGCAGCACCATTATGCACACGTGAAGCTGTCTCACTGTGAGAGAAATACATATTTTCCCAACTTTACTGGTGCAGTAAATGGTATCCCTAGAGAGGTTCCAAAATTCTTAAGACATGTATTAATTTGCAAAAGGGAGGAACATTTTACTAGAAGTATTTTGGTATACAACACAAAGACCTTATCAGCTCAGGCCCTGAGGTATTTCACTTGTGAATTTATTTGTCACTGTCATAATGATTTGCCACTGGAATCAGCTCCGTGTGCCCAGCATCATGTGAGGGAGGCACTGGTTGCGGAAGTGGAGGAGAACCTTTTGAGAGTGAAAAATCTATAGGGTCAATATCAGGAACAGACTGAGGCTCATTCTCCTGGCAGTGAAGTCAGGGAGTGGACTACTATTAAAAAGGAAAAGTATCTACTATTTTGCTCTCTCCTCTCTTCTACCCTGGTGCAATCAGTAAGAAAGAACACCAGAAAAGGAATTTTGTATATTTAAGAAGGTGTAAGAATATGTAGATATATTTGCTTGCATTCACTTAAACACAGAAACATAATAAAACACAAAAAAATTAAAATATTTATCTCTCCCAGTAAATGGGGAGTGGGTAGAAGCAAGACTTTCTGTATAAACATTGTTGGCATGATTTTGACGTTTCAGTCATGTAATGATACTATTCAAAAAATACTTATTCCTAAGTAAACATTAATAAAGGTATGCATATTGGGTTCTCAATGAAATAGAAACACGCTGGCAGTCACTCAGAAGTAAAATCAATTATTTCTGTTATGATATGCTGTACTATACGCCCTATAGCTCTTCAGTGTGGGAGGAGTAGTATTGGGAAACAATAACAGCTCCCATTTATTCAGGACATCTAAATGCCAAGATACATAATGAAGTTTCACTTAAGATAATCAGAAAATTTCAGCTTTTTCATTATTTTCTTTCAGGTGAAGAAATCAGGTGGAAAACAATGTATCTGTCCCCGAAAGCTGACTCTGAGTTGCAGGAACCCCAACTGTTATGCTCCAAGTAGAATGAGATAATTCAAGGAAATAATTCCACAGAAACAGACTTTCTGCCCCTAGAAAAGACCCCAAAAGACTGTAGATTATTTTCCTAAACCACCTGTAAACAGCTGGCTCCGGAACTCCTGAGTTCCGGAGAGTTATCTGTATACGCCCCCATAAACAAATTTTATTATTTTTTTATATTCTAAGCACCACTCCAGACCCCCCAACACACACACACACACACACACACACACACACGCACGCACACACACACGCATACGAATAGATGAGACACATGGGACAAAGAATCTCTCCGCTGGAAAATGGACTGCAGTAGAAGAGTCCAGCAGAGTGTCCCAGCCCCACCACGACTTCTCAGATAACAGGAGATGGGGGCTTGTGACTTCTGTTGTTTCCCTGCGGACTGTAGCCCGATGGTTTTCCTTTCTACCTGATCCTTGCTTACCTGATGCTGTGCAGTGTTGTAGACTTTGTCTCTAATCCAGAAGTGAGGAAACTAGAAGTCAGATTGCACATACCGTGACACGGCTTGATTTACACCAACCTTGTCCGCTATCCAGTCTGAGCACAGTTACTTCTGGATTTAAAAGTTGTCAGGTGTGAGCCCATACCCAGAGTCTCTAATTCTAAACCAACCAGAAAGTGTTGAACGTGCTCTGTTTAGAATCCATGCGAACTTCTAAGCCCCTCTACCTGAAAAACTAGGTAATATTAATATTTAATAAACTTCGAGTTGCTAGTATAAATCATTAACATAGTTCATTTGAACTCAGTGTATAAGAGATATGCCTACCTTAATTCCATGTTTGTTGTAATGATGGAAACAACTTAATGGACACTTCAACTGGCAGATTCTTTCAATAATATTTTACAAAATTTATTGATATTTTTCAGTATGACTCCAAGATATCATTTCTTCCTTTTACAGATATCAAAAGACTCTCACTGAGCTTCTCACAAATGATCTGGTAGGAACCAACTGGTGAAACCAGAAATTAATTTTGCATGAGATTTCAAATCCTGTTTTTTCTATAACCTCAGGCTGTTACTTATATAAAAGAAGAAAAAATCCTAAAATAGTTTGTCTTATGTCTTGGTTACTTTTTTCTCATTGTTGAGACAAAATACCTGACACCTAGAATCAAGGAAGGAAAGGTTTATTTAGCTCATAGTCTGTGGAGGTTTCAGTCCATACTGGGCTGACTCCAAGGCAGGGTGGCACATGGCAAAGGGTAACTGTTTATGGCAGGGAACACAGCAAAAGCAACAAGAGCAAAAAAGGAGGAGCAGCAGAGAGCAAACCTCTCTCCCTCCCTTATATTGTGTGCAGGCTGCTGGCCCCAGGGCGGGTGTAGCACTCACACCCAGAATCCGAGCATTGGACCATGAATCAATCAACAACTCTAGAAGCCTGCCCCATGGCTGCTTTGAGGAGGACATCTACACACAAACCGTAACATAGTTTCTACACAGTAAATTTATATTCAGTACAAGAGTAGCCAACAAAACTACACTATCACTTCCAAGAGGACTCCTTCTATTGCTTAGATCATAAGAACTGAGTTCTGGCTGGGAGGCTAATAGTCTCCAAGGGCTCCCAGGCTACATACTGAGATGGCCACATTTTAATGAAGGTTTTGAATACAGTGGTAAAATTGAGTTCCAGAAGAAGTTAAACACCATGGTACAGATTTTTTTTAAATGATAGTAATTATTTGTAAAATAAATACAGCATTTCCTGTGGGAGTAAAAGAGGTATGATTAATGTCTTCCAAGTTTTCAAGTAGTACTGTGGAGAAGAGGCAGGATGAAGTTCTGGTTTATTCTACAGAAGTTTTTGCTAACTCTGGCTCAGAGCTATAGTCATCTAAGGAGCTCATAAAAACATCCCATAACTGGGCCCAGTTCAGAGTTGTACTCCAGTGGTTCCTGGTATTCTGGAAAGTGATCTAGGTTGGCACTAGGCTTGATCGCCAGTGTTCTAGAGAAAAGCTGGTGGACGAATAGTGAACAGTAATGGTGAGGCCAACTTCACTCATCCCAAGATTGAAATCAAATTTAGCAATGGTTCTGAACACCTAAGAAAGTCTGGGAATAATCGTGAATACAGCATAACCCTTCACAGTCCTTATCCACAAGAATGTACATACTCAAACTATATGTGGAAACTTAATGCAAGAAACAGTGTCAGGGCTGGGGATTTAGCTCAGGGGCAAAAGCGCCTGCCTGGCAAGCGCGAGGTTGTGAGTTCGGTTCCTGGTACCGGAGAAAAACCAAAAAAAAAAAAAAAAGAAAGAAACAGTGTCAGAATAGCTGTGCTGCTTTGGTCAATGATTATCATAAGATCCACTGAACAAGGAAGAAACCCCAATTATATTTAAATAAAATTTAAATATCATAAGACAGCTCAGCAGGGGTAACATTTTTAACAATATGCAAGAATGAAGTAATGCAATCAATCAATAATGATAAAGTCTATCATCTCAAGAAGGAGGGCATGCTCCACTAATGAAAATATTCAATAATCATAGGACCTCCTATTAGATATGTAAAAGAGATTTTTATATTGGGCTGGAAAGTCAGACTGGACAGAAGTATTAGTCGGGATTCTTCAGATGAAATAGGACCTGTTGAAGAATACCTAGATACAAGATGATGTACATAGAGACAGTTTTCAGGAACTGGTTCATGGGATGTGCCCACTGGCAAGTCTGAGATCTTTAGAAAAGGCAGCAGGCTGAAGGGTCTCGGGCAGGGGTAGAAGTTGATGGTGCAGTGTTGAGATAATTTTTTCTTCTCTAGGGAAACATCAGTTTTGCTTTTATGACCTTTCACCTGACTGCATGATGTCCATCCAGGTGGTTATTAAGAATGATTACCTTTACCTGATCACCTAATTGTAGATGTTAACCGCAGCTGCACAATGTCTTCACTCAAACACTAAATTAGTGTCTGACAGCATAACTAAGTACAATAGCCTAGCCAAGGTGACACGTAAGATGAACCATCATAGCGACCTCTGATAGTCCTTCTAATCTAGAATGTCATGATTACAGTGGAGGACGCTTTCCTCGCTTGGAAATCATCTATTCAGAAGCAGTGTCTGCAGCACCCATGCGTATCACTCATTACAACATCCTAAATAACTGACCTCCTTCCCCGCTCGTGCTACACATCTCATTTAGACAAGATTATTCGATCGAGGTTAAAAAAAAAAGAAAGGAATTACCAAGAGAAGTTTCCGGCTGTCTAAATTATACCCATTATATTCATCTCCATTATATGCATTATTGTTTTCTAATTTTCCCCGATGTATCAGCACAAAGTAAGACCACGCGGCGCAGATCGACAGTAGAAACCTGAGCGCAGTCCGGAACAGTCTGAAATGGGCAACGTCTGTGCGCATGTCGTCACCGTGTCATGCGCAGGACAGTTAGGGAGATCGGTTTTGCGTTTCTAACGTGTTTTTTCATTCTGATACAAGTGCGGAAACAAAGCCCAGGAGGGAACTGTATTTCGGCTAATTCATATGAGTTCTTTCTCCTTGCTGTTGTGAAAATTAACTTTGCAAGGCAATTTAGCAGGGCCAAGGAATCCCCAAATAGGTGGTAAAACATCTGTTCTGGTTCATGTCTAAAATATCCGTCAAATCTCAAGTGGGCAGAGGTGGACCCTTTACAAAGCAATTGGACTATCAGGGCTCTAATTTCATCAGTGGATTAATTTGCTGATGAGATAATGCATGATGCCATGCCCGAGAAGTAATGGAAACTTTAGAGGTGGGGTTCAGTAGAAGAGAGTGGGCCCTGTGGGCCTGACGGTGGGGGTTACTTCATCCCTGGTCATTCCCTCTCTGGTTCTTCCCCTTACCGTCTGCTAGGTGGCTGCCGTGGAGTGAACAGATTTTCTCTACCGTATCTTTCCACCATGATACTTCTGCTTTGCCATAGCCCTAAAGCAATGGAGCCCGCTGATCATGGACTGAAACTTCTGAAGCCAGAAGTGAAAATAAAATTTTCCTCCTTTGTGTTTTTTGTTGTGGGTATTATACCATAATGACCAAAGCTGACTAACAGATTATTTGTCAGTGTGTCTGTAAGGATTTCTCTGGAATAAAGTTCACTCTAACAGTGTGGGTGGGAGTCCTTCAGTCCACTGAGGGTTCTACAGAATGAAAGATGGGAGGGAGGGTGAGTTCACTGGTAGAGCTGGGCTGTCCCTCTTGACCCTTGTCAGACGCTGGTGCTCCTTCCTCTCAAGCCTCCAGGCTTGGAACAAGACTGACACCAGAACTCTGCTCTTTCTAAGTCTTTCACACTTGGCCTGAACTTCCCCGCTGTTTTCCAGCTTGCAGATGGCAGACTGTTATGGTTTGTGTCTAGATGTTCCCTCAAAGCCTCATGCACTTTTAGATGGGGCCTTTTCAGGGGTAGCTGAATCTGGGATTGATTCATTCTTCAATGCTAGGATTAAGGTTGCTGGGATGAAGGGTGGGTGATTGCTGGATCAGTCCACTGATTGGATGGACACTGCCGCAATCCCAGGAGCCTGGAGAAGACAAAAGGGGCAGAAGGAGGCTTGCCTCTCCCCTGCGCTTGTTGCTTTTGCCGTCTTCTGCTGCCATGAACTGTTTCTCCTCTGGGATGCCCCTCTGCCAGGTGCCACCCTGCCTGGGAGCCAGCCGATTATGGACTGAAACCTCCACAAACTGTGAGCTACATAAATCTTTCCCATTTAACTTTAAGTGTCAGGTATTCTGACTCAGCAATGAGAGAAAATTAACCAACACAGAGACCATGGGACTTGGTTTTGATGATCAAATTCCTTTTCTCTGTCTCTGTCCCTGTCTCTCTCTGTCTCTGTCTTTTCCTCTACCTCTCTTCTTCTCTCTCTTTTTCTCCTCTCCTCTCCTGGCTCTGTTCTTTGCAGAAACTCAACAACATGCTAACATAGAGGAGACACAAAATATGACTACTTTGCGGGAAAAAGGGGGAGACCGGGGGTCACCACCAGTTATTGCAATGAAGAGTGGAAAAGGCGCCTATAAATGTTCTCAATAACAGGGATGCCCCACTAAGTGTATATTTGGGTTTGGGCTGAGCGCTCATAAGGGTGATTGGTTGTGTGTTACGATAATATTCATGCCATAACTGAATATACACTAATTTGCTTCCTAAGTGCACAAAATCTAAAATGCTCACCTTTGATCATAAAGGCACAAAAGAAGATAGTGTTATCTTCTTGTACCTAGAATTGTTTCAGTTGTAGAAATAAAAATCAGTGAGATTTCTCCTCTTTATTTATAACCACTTATAAAGTCCATTTTTTGGTAAGGTATAAACTTCAAAATGCTAGATGCAAAAGCTATAAATTCCATTATATTGAGATTTGAATATAATCAAAATATTTAATCTGATATATTAATCAGATTTAGCACTGGGGGTCAGAGATTTTCAAAAATACATTCGTCTATTATCAGGAGTTTGGAGTACAAAAATTTTCTTTTGTGTTATGATAGTGGCAACAGTTCCAATTCCCAGGAACAAAATTAAAATACTGTCTCTCAAGTGAATAATGAATTTTGCCAACTTATTTGTAGCCCTTATACCTACACTTAAGATATATATTTCAAAAATAGAAGTATATAAACCTAATTTTAAAAAGAATTATTGTTGTAAGAAGACTGAATTGAAAATATTGACTCCAGGAGTTTGCTAGTTAGCTATTTACTAAATTAGCAGAGTTAGTTGTAAATTACAGTGAAAAAACAGAAGTAAAAAAAGTACAGTAATGAAATGAAAAGTATTGAGAATTAGAGGTGTATCCATGTAACCCTCGGTTCAATTCCTTGCACCAAAGGGAAACAAAGAAAGTAAAGTGGAAACTGCATCTAAGAACTAGACAGTGACTTCACGTTGTTTGCTTCTTCAGGTCATTTTGAAGACAGCTTAGAAAAACTTGAGTTTATTAATAATACCATGAATAAGAATAAGAAACTGTTTTCATTCATTAGAAGTCTATTCTGTGATGAAACATATTTTAATATTTGCACTGTCGTTTGGTATTTTATTTAAATTATTAAAAATCTAAAAGAGGGACAAGTTTCACATAAGTATATTGGGTTTTGAAAATACATGGCCTGATGTAAAACTTAGAAGAAACGACAAGAAAAACAGCCAGTTTTAACAGAATAAGCACAGGTCTAATATCAGGGGGCTTGATTCTCCATCTGCCTCTGCCTCTAAATCACCTGTGATTAGCTGAGTAGTGTGAGATGAAACCTCAACACCTGCATGTCTTTAATTTCTTCCTGCATAAACTAAGGGAATGAGCAACATTTATAATGCCTCCCATTTATAAGATATGATAATTCTGTAATCTTTAAATAGATACTTCAACAGAGATTAAAAGTGATCTTTCTTTTGATTCTGAACCAAATCTACCTATTGGAAGTTGTTTGAATACCTTTTTAGTTATTACAGTTCTCCATTGTCTTTATAGCAGATCCTGTCCTATGGGAAAGCTACTATCAGTCACTTCCTGATAGGGATATTCCTTTCACACTTTATTTTGCAGGGCCCTAATTTGCAGATGTATTGAGATGCTCACAGTGCTTCAGATATCCAGGCTCTCATCTCTAGATTTACTCTCAGTAAACTTTAAAGAGGCCAAACTAAATTTGTACATTGATTGGGACAACTTAGAGAAGCAAAATAAAAAGACCTGAATTGTAGCCCTTGTTGGAAAGAATTGTTTTGTTCCCATATGTAGATACTTGAGCTTGCCCTCCAAGAAGAAGAAGTTCTCCGTGTGGCAGTGAAATACAGTCTGCTGCTCCAGAATTGTCCTAAGTCTAAGGAGACCCATGACACAGTGCAGGAAGAGTAACAGGAACCAAAGAGTGTTCAGGATCGAAGCAGGAATTACAGACTGAGAGTTCCACTGTAATAATAGGTGTAAAGGGATGCTAGGTATAAAGGTACAATAGGTATAAGAATAGGTAAAATAATACCTATAATAACACCTATAGTACATATTATATTATATAAATACAATAATACCTGTAGTAATGCCTATACTGGAAAGGTGTACTAGGTATAATAATAGGTATAAAGATGAGATATAATCTTTGGAAATATTGAAGTGTGAGACATAGTGAAGTTCTCAGTTACCAAGTGGGGACTTCAGTTCTACCAATTCCTTGTAATGACTTTCTCTATTTAAAGTACTTTCTAAGGCATTCTGGAGAAAGTATTTATTTGGGGGGAAAATATACCACAGGGGCACAACTTTTTCTTTTTAAGATATAATGTGATCTAAAGCAACTTTAATATTTGCAAAAACGCAGACTTTCAAAAGCTTGTCAAATACTACCATATTGAAGGATATATATATATGTTACTGTTAAATATTTAAACTGATATCTTCACATTAGACAGGGAGGAGCTGAAACAGAGAAGTTAAACAACCTACCACATATTCAGCAAAGAGAAAAACAGAATATGAATTTACATACTCTTCACACAAATCCTGCATACTTAGTAATTATGCACAATTCACACACCGAACAATTTAACCAATTTGCATACTTCCCACCGGCAGCAATTCAAAATAAATCCTTCCAGGCAGACTCGTTGCCCTAATACCGGAATCCTCGGTGGCAATGGAAACATTATTGTTCACTCAGGTCCCAGCCCAATGTGTGTATGTGTACGTGTGTGCACATGTACCTGTGTGTGCTGGAAAAGAGAACATAGACATTGGCCCTTTTCGTTTATGACCCACCATCACCACGCGTGATTCCCAGGGTCTCTACAGAAGGGGAAATAAAGTAGGATTGGGAAAATGTATTCAGGAGTTAATGTGCACCCAGTTTCTTTAGCCTGAGACTAGTCTCACGTCTCTACATAACTTTCAACATTTGAGGAAGCAGGTAGCTGAGAGCTCAGAAAAAGGCGATACAGATCTCTGTCGCAACAGAACAGGGGCTGCATAGCAAAGTCAGAACCCAGAAAAGCGACACCCTCTCTCAGCATTGTTATTCAGTCAGAATCTCTCTTTTTATGAAAAATCCATTTCATGCTTGTCTACTTTGGTAAATCACAAAATTGAGTTTAAAATTGGTTAAAAATGAGAGTGATCATAAGAAAACTAAAAGGCATTTGATGTTGATCATCAGAGGCTGGCATATGCCCAGATGCTAACATAATCTAATTCTATTTCATGATCATAATCTGTGCTATTTCTCTTCTTGGATAATGAGTGTTCATTTCTTCCAAACCGATCTTGTCCTGATAAATGCCAAAATACTGGAGGATTTTTTTTGAATATACACAAAAATCCATGAGGTATACTACTGTGATATATTCTGTAATACTTG